ACATTGATGCAGCCCAACAATACAAAAGCATATTGTCCCTGGGTGACCAGGGTTCTCACCCTAGTGATCCAGGGTGAGAACACCATTTGCCATGCCGTCTCCAGGAGCAAGAGAAAAAACAATTCCAGAATCGATTGTTAGTTTTCTTCTAAAGGTTCTTCCAAAGGCAGTACCACCAAGTCACTGCATTTCATTACAGCAGCACGGCAACATAAACACAGCTCAATGTCTCTTGGTCAGTCTTTGCTTTTGAAAGAAAAAAAAGTGTTCGGCTCACATGCTGCAACACTGAAGTGAGACAATTACAGAGTGAGATACTGTACACTGTCCAGCACCTTGGGACGTCCTCTTGACGTGAAAGGCGCTAAACAAATGTAATCTTGCTGTGGTGGGGGAATGGTCAGTACTGTAATACTATACTAACCATGTACAAAAAAAATCTTCCTTTCCAACATTATGAATTACGATATTTTAACGTTTGCTTTATTTCAGTCCTTTTTAAAAAAAACACAACTTTTTTTTCTTCCTGAGCTCTTAAAAAAAAACTTGTATTTGTATAGTGCCTTTTGTGTGGGATAACGTCTTGAAGCATTGAACCCCACTTATTTTTAATTTGGACCCTACCTCCAAAATTAGATTTTAAATAGTTGAAAACCTGCTTAGGCCAACTTTTTTCCCTCAGTTAATTAAGACTCAGAAATTTAACACAGAAGTTTGGCAGCATCAATCAACAAGAACAACAACTTGCATTTATACAGTGCCTTTCACTTCAGGAGCGTGCACCCAGGCCCTGGACAATGAGTGATTTAAACCTGAGCTGCGGGTTGGGATCAGAGAGGAGTGGAGGGCAAGGCAGGGGGAGGAGGGAAGATGATCGAAGACACGGTCAAAAAGGCAGGTCTTGAGCCAGGCCTTGAAAGAGGCAGAGAGGAGGGGTGGGGGGGAAAGGAGGACATATCAAGACGTATTTCCCCCTTTTTTGAGTTGGTCTCAAATGAACAGTAAGTACATCTATGTTGAGTAAAAGAGTCATTTATCCATTCTGATTTATGAAGCCTGAACATACTGCTTTAGAAATTGTTTGATAAATTATTTTGACGAAAATCTGTGAAGTAATGGTGAACTTCTATTGTAAAAATAAGTATTCTGATTGGCAAAGCAATTGCACACGGCCCAGAAAATTCATCAACTATAGAGGTTTAATTTTCAGTCGTTATTTCAAAACCTAAAGCAATATTTCAAACCACTCACCCCATTATTGTCTTTCTTATTTTGTACGTCATTTTACAAAAGACAATTAAAGAGTTAGACCGCAGTAACACTAAGTAACCACTCTTGGTATCAGAATAATCAATTCTTGTTGACAGTTTCTTTAAGAAATCATTACATTCAGGATTTAGTATACAGTGAAAACGTAATCCTAAATGTAAAAAGAAATTGCAAGATCACTATAAAACAATGAAAATATTTAATACTATATTTACAATTACCATATATGTTGATTGTACACACGTCACCAAAAAAAGGACTTCCAATTTCATTAATGTTACGTGGTGGGGAGGCAGAAGGAAAAAAGCTGTATTTGAAACAGCTGCAAACTAAGTTTAAATACCATTTTAAATGTTCTTCCCCCACCCCCCAAAAAAAACTATTTTGACATAGCCATTTTAGGCTGCGACTGCTTCAGTCTCGGGAATAACCCCCAACCAGTTCCTTCTATTATCCCACTGGGACTTCCTGTCTTAACAAAAGTATTGGTAAGAAGAAAAAAAATAGGATGTTAAAAGGGAATCATATGCAAAACCTCTTAGTTTAACTTTACCTGAGTAATTTGCCTTAGAACAAGAGATAACCCTAATCCCTTACTTTAAAAAAAACTATTACACTACTGTATGGTTCATTTCATAAAGTCTGTTTGAAAGATGCTTAACACAGAATATTTTCTTAGCCTGTACAATCCTCCTCTAAAACAAATACTTCTAAAGCCCAAGGTGCAAACTGAACTCAAACTGCAGTTAGTTGGCTAGTTTTGTCAGAAATGATATTCGGCTGCATCCAAGGGGACTTGCACTTGTGTGAAACAAAAGAGTTCCTCATGGCAACACAATGATGAAAATCTGGCTTTCTCGCGCCACATGGGCACTTAAAGCAACTTGAGGAACCTTTGAACCTGTGGTGAGATCTGCAAAGCCAAAGGTTTGTATTTTTTTAAAAAAACACACACATTTGTCTCATTGCACCAATTCATACAGTAATTCTCTACAATGCACACCTTGCAGTTTGATAGTTATATTTCAAGTCCAGAAAGCCTGACAGCAGCAAATTGCATTCATGTAGAAAACATGGTGGTCTGTACAGATCCCAGGAAATCTATTCCCAGCCTTATTTACATTTTATTAAAAAGTGCAATTCCCCCCCAAAAAAAGTTTATCAATTTTTTTATGCCACTTAAAGTTAAGTTCACCAAATAAAATTCAGAGAAATTACTTTTATTTTTGCACGCATCACATTGATATCTTGATTGCATTTTCAAGTGAGGAACTTTGTACAATTTACATACAAATAAGTACATGGCAATACTAGGCGGTGGGTGGGGGGGGCCCTTCCCCCAACAAAAACTGATCGCAATTTTTTTTGATATGCTTCAATTGCACTTTATATATCTTGTGAGGCGCTTCGAGACGTCCCAATAAAGTTATTAGCCGCTATATCAAATACAAGGTTTATTATTACTATTATTAATTGCTTACTTTGGATTACTTAGTCCGTTTACGTGCGACTATGTACCTCCCGCACCCCACCACCACCAAGCAGCAATAAACCAACCAAAATAAGCGGCCAAGCAGCAGAGCCATCAGCCATGCGGTCAAAAAGATTATAGGTCGACAAATCTTCGCGTAGGTTGGTGGGTGGGGGTTGGGAAAGGGGAGGGAAAAGATTAAACGGCATTAAAAATACAACTGATTGTTTCTCGCCATTAAGAGGCGGGAATCTCCTCCCTGTGAGCACTGCGCTGCACTCTGTGATTCAGCCCTGAGCTGGGAAGGCAGGAAGGCAGGAAGGCAGGAGCTAAACAAAGCTTTCTGCCTGGACACTGCTGGAGGGCGATGTGCAGCAACAGCAGCAGCAGAGACCACAGACCTGGACGAAAAGCACATTCCGCGCAAACATAAAACCCCCTCTCTCTTCTCCACCCCCCTCCCTCCCTTCTCTGCTCCTCCCCCCCCCCCCCCCTCTCTTTCTCCACAGGCAGCGTGTGTTCGCTCTGCTCCACATTTACGGGCCTGCGTTTAGCAAATCAAACCAGACAGGAAGCTTTCCCTTTCCTCTCTCCTTTCCCCCGCCCTCCCATTATAAACTGCCAATTCCATTTATTTTTAAGAGAAAAAAAAGACACAAGTAATACCATAGACGTTTACGGTAAACGCTAACTTTGTTGTAGTTTTTTTTTAAAAAAGAGGACTTTTCTTCAGATAGAACCCACCTACTGATGCTCCTCACTTTCCCTCTCCCCCTCCCCCCTCTCCTGGCCGCCTGTAAACATGTGAGCCGCGCTCATGGCTGGCCACACTCACTCATCCAAACACACTTTACAGTACATTCTGTGAATCGCTTCGAGACGTCTCGAAGACATACGACGCTATATCAAATGCAACGATTATTATTATTATTATTATCATCATCCTCCTCATCATCATCATCTGCTGCCGGGGATGTTTCGAGCTTTGCGGCTGGAGCAGGGTCCCTGGTGTTGGAGGGGGTAAAGTGGGGGGGGGAAGAGAAGACGAGAGACAAATCCAACATTCTTACAGACTCTCTCTCATCCCCTCCCCACACACATACAATTAAAAAACAAGCTTATTTTTACAGAGAGACAGGCAGACAGCTGGACTGAGGCTGTAAAACCCAGAAAACAACAGCTTACTTGGGATATTGTGTGTGTGTGTTTGTGTGTGTGTACAGCAGTCAACAAAAAAATAGCCCTTTGCACCCCCAACAAAAATAACCATTTTATTTCACTATAAATATATAAAAGCAATGGAGAGGTCACACACACACACACACAAGAGCCCAACGAAGAGAGCCTTTTACATTTCCCCCCTTTCCCCCCACTCCCTCCCTCTCCCTCCCCACCACCCAAAAAATATATATATATTTTAAAAAAATGTAATGTCTTATGAAAAAAAACACATGTGGAAAAAAAAAGACCTTTCTTTCCCTTCGGCAGCAGGTGGGGGGGGGGAGTGTATGAGGAAATATTGGGTCAACAATTTGCTGGTGACAATCCCAGGTCACAGAGGGAGAAGAGGAGGGAGAGGAGAGGAAGAGAGGAGAGGGAGAGGAGAGGAAGAGAGAAGAGAAGAGGAGAGGAGAGGAGAGGAGGAGAGGAGAGAGGAGAGAGGAGAGGAGAGGAGAGGAAGAGAGGAGAGGGAGAGAGGAGAGGAAGAGAGGAGGAGAGGAAGAGGAGAGGAGGAGAGGAAGAGAGGAGAGGAGAGAGAGGAGAGGAGAGGAGAGAGGAGAGGAAGAGAGGAGAGGAAGAGAGGAGAGGGAGAGAAAAGAAGAGAAGAAGAGAGGAGGAGAGGAAGAGAAGGAGAGAGGAGAGAGAAGAGGAGAGGAAGAGAGGGGAGAGAAGAGGAGAGGAAGAGAAAGAGAGAGGAGAGAGAAGAGGAGAGGAAGAGAGAGAGGAGAGGAGAGAGGAGGAGAGGAACGTGCTCTTTTCTGGGTTACTCAGCAGCTGAACGGGAAGAAAGAGAAGGCGACACTCGGGAGGAGGAGGAGGAGGGTTGAGTTTCATTGACACACACACACACACATACACACACAACAGTTTTGATTTTGTTTCGGGGGCGGGGGGGGGGGGTTTGCAAAAAAAAAAAAATTTTTTTTTAAATAAACAAACAAACATATAAATAAATAAAAAAAATAAAATAAAATAAATGAGTGAGCGAGTGAGTGAGTGAGTGAGCGGGAGAGCTGTGCTGTGCTGTGCTGTGTGTTACCTGTTTGCCTCTGTAGAACAGGCGCTGGCAGTCCGGGTCCACACTGAAGCTCTCCTGGATCTTCACCCTCAAGCCCTCGATCTTGGTCAGTCGGGACAAGTCGTCGATGCACCGGGTTTGTTTGCCGTCGATAGTACGCACTTGAATCCACATTTTTCTTCCCTCTCTTTCACTCTCTCTCTCTCTCTCTCTCTTTCTTTTCTCTCTCTCACTCTCTCGCTCTCTCTGTGTCTCTCTCACTCTCTCTCTCTCTCCTTCTCGCGTCTTCTTTTTTTTCCCCTCTTCTCCTCTCCCGGTTTTCCTGCCGCTGTTCACGAAACAATGAGGACCCCCTCTCTCCCTCTCTCCCTCTCTCTCTCTCTCTCTCTAATGAAACGACCCCCCGTGTGATAACCAGCGGTGACAACAGGTTCAAGGACGAGGAGGAGTGTGGGGGAGGGGGGAGGGGGGGGGGGAGGGGGAGAAGGGGAAAAGGGGGAGGGAGGGAGAGGAGGAGAGAGAGAGAGGGGGGGGGACCCCACCCACCAGTCTGTAGGTGAGATAAGAGAGAGATTTTGTTGATATTGCAACAACAAAAAACCGACCCCCAAATGGTGCACTGTGTAATAAGGAAAAATAATTCCCCCCTTTTTTTCAGGGCCGAGGCCGAGGCCGAGGCTGAGTGGGGCTCAGGCGGAGGGCTCCTCACCAGCGGCGGCGGCGGCTGTTTACTGAGCGCTCAGAGCCTCGGCTCTCAGTCACTCACACACACACACACACACACGGGGTCACGGCGCCAAACAACTCTCGCGAACATAGGATAGTGATTGTTTATACAGAGAGGGGGGGGGAGTGATGGGGGGAGGGGAGTGAGAGGGGAGGAGAGAGGGGAGGGGGAGGAGAGAGGGGAGGGGGGAGTGAGGGGGGGAGGGGAGTGAGAGGGGAGGAGAGAGGGGAGGGGGAGTGAGAGGGGAGGAGAGAGGGGAGGGGAGGAGAGAGGGGAGGGGGAGAGGGGGGAGGGGAGTGAGAGGGGAGGAGAGAGGGGAGGGGGGAGGAGAGAGGGGGGGGAGGAGAGTGAGGGGGGAGGGGAGTGAGAGGGGGGAGAGGGGAGGGGGGAGTGAGAGGGAGGAGAGAGTGAGAGGGGGGAGGAGAGAGGGGAGGGGGGAGTGAGGGGGGAGGGGAGTGAGAGGGGAGGAGAGAGGGGAGGGGGAGTGAGAGGGAGGAGTGGGGGAGGGGGAGTGGGAGGGGAGGAGAGAGTGAGAGGGGGGAGGGGAGTGAGGGGGGGAGTGGGGGGAGGGGGAGGGGAGGAGAGAGTGGAGGGGGAGGGGAGTGAGGGGAGGAGTGGGGGAGGGGGAGGGGGGAGTGAGAGGGAGGAGGAGGGGAGGGGGGAGTGAGAGGGAGGAGTGGGGGAGGGGGGAGTGGGAGGGGAGGAGAGAGTGAGAGGGGGGAGGGGAGTGAGCGGGAGGAGTGGGGGGAGGGGGAGGGGGGAGTGAGAGGGAGGAGTGGGGGGAGGGGAGGGGAGTGAGGGGGGGAGGGGAGTGAGAGGGAGGAGTGGGGGGAGGGGGAGTGAGAGGGGGGAGGGGAGTGAGAGGGAGGAGTGGGGGGAGTGGGAGGGGAGGAGAGAGTGAGAGGGGGGAGGGGAGTGAGCGGGAGGAGTGGGGGAGGGGGAGGGGGGAGTGAGAGGGAGGAGTGGGGGGAGGGGGAGGGGGAGTGAGGGGGGGAGGGGGGAGTGAGGGGGGGAAGGGGGAGTGAGGGGGGGAAGGGGGAATGAGGGAGGGGAGGGAGGGAGGAGGAGAGAGGGGGGGAGGGGGAGTGAGGGGAGAGTGCGAGGGGAGGGGGGAGTGAGAGGGGACGAGAGAGTGAGAGGGGGGAGGGGAGTGAGAGGGAGGAGTGGGGGAGGGGGAATGAGTGGGAGAGGAGGGGGAGGGAGGAGAGAGAGGGGAAGGGGGAAGTGAGAGGGGGGGTGGGGGAGGGAGGAGAGAGGGGGGGGAGGGAGGAGAGAGAGGGGGGGAGGGGATGGGGAGGGAGAGGAAACAAGGCGCAGGGGATGGGGGGCCCAGAGAGAGCCAAGGGGGCCGGGCAGAGGGTCATGGAGGGGGTGCGGAGAGGTGGGGGCGGGGGGGGCAGAGGGGGGAGGAAGGCACAGGGGGGGGCGCAGAGGGGAACGGGCAGAGGTGGCACGGAAAAGATGGGGGAAAGGGGAGGCGGAGGGGGAGAGAGGGGAGGCAGAGGGGAAAAGGGGTGGGGGAAAGGAAAGGAGATCCGGAGTGGGAAGGGGGCAAAGGGAGGCGGGGAGGGGTTTGTGGAGTGAGGAGGGGGTGCGCGGAGGGGAGAGGGGAGAGAAGACGCCCAAATGCTCAACTCTTTCCACTCTCCCCCGTTTTCTCTTCCAATTCCTTCCCTTTTATGCGCCATTAGCTACTTCTCATGCCATTTTACCTGGGTGTCAATAATTTCTTTCTCTTTCTGATATTCCCTCTAGTTCCCTGCCTCTAGTATTTCCTCCTCCCTTTCCTCCCCCCTTTTGGCGGGCTGGGGAAAGCCATCAAGCTCCGCCTTTCATTTAGAATAGCTTTTTATATAATTTTTTTAAAAAAGTTGGTTTGTTTATCTTGAAAGCGATGAGTTTTACAACCCATCCCCATCTCTCTCTCCCCACTCCCCTCTCTCTTTCTTTCCCCCACCCCCACCCAAAATAAAACCTTGCAAGAAATATACGTAGATTGATTTCACTTCTCTTCCCCCTCCCCTCCTCCACTTTCCCCAATGCAATCCACATCGGCACACACACACACTGCATGGCTCGGGTTATTACGTTCCGCCAAGAATGCTTTGCGACGTGTTAAGAGACAAGAACTTGGTGATTTATGCGACAAAAGTGTTTTGCAAAACAATAAAAAAATAACTTCAGGAGATTGTTGTCCAGCAGCCTAACTCCTTAAGTTTATATACTGTATTAAATATACTATGGGAATTTAGTTTTATTAGAAAGAAGTCTTGACACATTCATGAGGCTCAACTCCCATCCCCCACACACACGCACACACACACTTCCAGCTTTGAGGACACACAGGAGCAGATATTTCCATTTTCTAGCAAGGAAGCACATTGCGATGGGGTGCGGTGGGGGGTATAGTGTTAACAGGAGCTAGGAACAGGAAGAATCCCTGCTCCCAGTGACTGATCTGCCCTCGCAAGTCGCCCCTTCCCTCGCCTCCTTCAAGGCCTGCCTCAAGACCTGCTTCCCCTTTGACCACACTTCTGGCCATTGTTCTCCACATCAACCCCCTCCACCCCCCCAGCTCGGGTACAACCGGATTGTTCAGTGCCCTGGGATGCCCTCCTGACATGAAAGGCACTAAATAAATTAAAATTAGTATTACATAAGTCCTACCAACGAGCCAGTGTCCTATAGCAATGCAGATAATAATAATAATCCTTGCATTTGATTTAGCTCCTTACCATGTCTTAGGGACGTCTCAAAGCGCTTCACAGAATAATAATAATAATAATAATAATAATCCTTGCATTTGATATAGCGCTTTTCACGTCGGGAGGACGTCTCAAAGCGCTTCACAGAACACACTGTAAAGTGAATTGACTCTATGTTTAGTGGGAAAAATGCGGCAGCCATGGCACACAGCAGGGTCCCACAAACAGTCGTGGATTTGAGTGACCAAATTATTGTTTTTTATTCATTTGTTTTCTTAAGGGATTATTATCAGCTGTGTGGAATAAGGAAACTTGCCCAAGGTTTCGTCCTGTTGGGAATCGAACCCAGGTCTCTCGCTTGCGAGGCGAGCGCTCTAACCGCTGAGCTACAGGACTCCAATAACTGAATGCCAGACCGTACAGCAGAATGCCTGTATATCTTTTGGGTGAAACGCGGCAGCCAATTGCGCACAGCGGTGTCCTATAAACAGTCGAGGAATGAATGACCCTCATCGTACCATTCACAAGCTGCAACTCATCCCAAAGTCTGTATCTTCACCCTCATATACAAATCCATCCCTGGTACTCCAATCCAACTCTGATCTCCTCCAACCTTATTCCTCCATTTGCTCCCTCTGCTCACCCCTCCCTTTCTGCTTTTTTAATATAACACATAATGATATATAGTATATAACCCTATAATATATAACAATATATAATATATAATCCTATAATATAATAATAATCCTTGCATTTGATATAGCGCTTATCACATCTTCTAGACATCTCAAAGCGCTTCACAGAATAATAATAATAATAATAATCCTTGCATTTGATATAGCGCTTTTCACGTCTTCTAGATGTCCGAAAGCGCTTCACAGAATATACTGTAAAGTGAATTGACTGTATATTTGTGGGCAAAACGCGGCAGCCAATTGCACACAGCAGTGTCCCACAAACAGTCGTGGATTGAAGTGACTAATTTTATTAGTGTTTTTTTTCTCTCTGTTTTCTCTCTTTCTGTTTTTTAAGTCCCACCTCAATCCTACCTCTTTCAACATACCCCCGGCCACTATACCCCTCTCCTTTGCTCAGCATTCAACTCTGTCCTTGTAACTCACTCCAAGACATTTCCCTATTTGACATGGATGGGGGACTTATACAGCGCATCTTCTGATAGGAGTGGAGTGGCAAGACACCCATCCTATTGATTGATGGGAAGGAAAACAGAGTACCAACTCTTCTTATTGATGGGGGTATGGTGAGAGGACACATACCCACCCCATCGAAAGATGGGGAGGGAAATAAAAGATGTATACTCCTATTGATGCGGGGGAAAAGAAGGGAGGACGCACTCATTTTATTGATGGAGGGGGGGGAAAGTAATGGAGGACACACATTCATTTTATTGATGGTTATGTCTAAACCTTATGTGTAAGCAGTTCCCCTTCATGGTTCTGAGCTTCTGGGCATGCAGCAGAGGGGGTTTCCATGGCTCATTTGCAAAGTCTAGAGGGAAGCAGTGAGGTAGATTTGTGGTAAAACAAGAAAAGCGACTGCAGGGAGGGTGGGCTCCAGCCTACACTGACCTGTCATAAAGCATCCTGGAAGTGGAGTCAGTTTCAAGATAGGCATTTTCTTTTGCCAAGACCCCTCCCACGAGGACCTGGATTAAGCAGTTGCGTTGAGTAAGCCTGGAATTAGATCTCGAGAACATCATAAAATGACCTGTAAAGATCCTTCCACCTAGCTGAAGGTAGATATCCATTGAATATCTGATAAGGAAACTCTGAG